AACAAGCAGACACAGGATCAGCCTGTTAAACTTAACAACAACGTTTCTTTAGTTGATCTGATAACTGAAAAACTGTAGGAACTGCCAGAAATTCAAGCCAGATTCAGAAGCGGGCATGGAATGAAGGGTATCATTGCTGGTGTCAGATGGGTCCTGGCTGAAAGCAGAGAACACCAGAAAGATGTTGACCTGTATTTTACTGACAATGCAAAGGCATTCAAATGTGTGGATGATAACGAATTATGGAAAATATTGTGAAGAATGGGAATCCCAGGAAAATGAACTGTGTTCATGAGGAACATGTACATAGAGCAGAAGGCTGTCATCCGAACAGAACAAGGGGATACCACATGGTTTAAAATCAGGAAGGGCATGCATCAGGGTCGCATCCTTTTACCATACTTATTTATTCTGTATACTAAGCAAATAATTCGAGAAGCTGGACTATATGAAGAACGTGGTATCAGGATTGGAGGAAGGCTCATTAACTACCTGTGGTATGCAGATGACACAGTCTTGCTTGCTGAAAGTGAAGAGGACTTGAAGCACTTACTGATGAAGATCAAAGACCACAGCTCAACATAAAGAAAACAAAAGTCCTCACAACTGGACCAATAAATAGCATCATGACAAATGGAGAAAAGATTGAAGTTGTCAAGGATTTCATTTTACTTGGATCCATAATCAACACCCATGCAAGCAGCAGTCAAGAAATCATACAAAGTATTGCATTGGACAAATCCGCTGCAAAAGACTTCTTAAGTGTTAAAGAGAAAAAGATGTTACTTTAAAGACTAAGGTGCGCCTGACCCAAACCATGGTATTTGCAATGATCTCATATGCATGTAAGGAGCTCTGGTAGCGGAGTGGGTAGGCACTTGACTGCTGATCAGAAGGTTTGTGGTTCAAACCCAACAGCCACTCTGTAGAAGGAAGATGGGGCAATTTATTTCCATAAAGATTTACTGCCTTGGAAACCCAGTGGGGGTCGCTATGACTTGGAATTGACTCGATGGCAGTGGTTTGGTTTTTCTGGTTTTGACATATGCATATGAAATATGAACAATGAATAAGCAAGACTGAAGAACTGATGTGTCTGAATCATGGTGCTGGCGAAGATTCTGAGTATCACAGACCGCCAGAGGAACAAGCAAATCTGTCCTGGATGAAGTCCAGCCAGAATGCGCCCTGGAAGTGAGGATGGTGAGACTTCACGTCCTGTACTTTGGTCACATTGTCAGGAGAGACCAGTCCCTGAAGGTTCTCGCGCTAAGTAGAGGGTCAGCGGAAAAGAGAAAGACCCTCACGGAGAGGGGCTGACACAGTGGCCGCGACAATGGGCTCAAGCCTAGCAGTGGTCGTGAGGGTGGTGCAGGGCCGGGCACTGCTTCATCCTGTTGTATGCAGGGTCGCTGTGAGTAGGAACCAACTCACCCAACAACAACAGAATTCGAACTCCCGTGAAAAAGGAGAATTACTAAACCAACTTAGGAGAATGGTGAGTATCAGACACTCATCCAACCTCCAGTCTGATGTTGAAACCAAAGGTGATGGTGGGTTCTGCACCGATCAGCCCATAATGCCAGACAAGCCTGGTCACTGCTCAGCACAGGGAGGTCTCTTCAAAAACACTGAGTGCGTGAGAGCCCCGCACTACTGTGTGTTCTGGGGGTGGTGGTGGAGCTCCAACGATCTCCAGAGAACAGACACAGGACGTTTTCAGAGATGATATAAAAGAAAGTGCGCTGTTTGCTAACCAAAGTTTCTATGTAATGAAAGTGTTTATAATCTGATGGTTTATTAAATGAGTAGAGACAGATGCGTATCTTAAAAAGTTGATTCTGTGTCTATGACTATGAAATCTGAGCTACTGTATCCACGGGGAGGCGGAGGAAAGGGTCTACACTGTGGGAGGAGGAACTGATGAATCCCATTCTGCCCGGTGGTGGCAGGTGGTGGTGGTGGTGGGCTCTGGGCTGGCTGGCTCTTGGATGCCCAGCGACCAAGCAGGGGAACGGCACCAGGCAGCAGAGTCAGGTTAGGCCCTTCTTTGTGGCAGGCGGCATCCCAGACTGGCCAGTCCTTCACAGTAATCGGTTCACATTCAGTCTGTTTCTGAGGAGAAAACACACGCCTGTTACCTCCATGTCAGTTACTCCTTGTACAGCCCAACACAGCCGTGACCTGGCCACACAGGGTGGCGTCACTGGCTTTGGGGACACTTTACCTCCATGTGCAGTGTCTTCCTGCCTGCTGCTCCTCTTTCTCCCCAGTCGTAGCGTCTGAGGGTTAGGGACTGGATGCGAGGCCTTCAGACGCCCAGGACCACCACCAGGCTCCAGTGCTACCAGCTAGAGCAGCAGCTCTTCTCTAAGCCCTGCTGCCAGGCCACCCTCAGCAGTGCTCTCCCACCCTGGCTCTCCAGAACACAGCGCCCTGACTTCACAGCACTGGGCTGATGCTGATATATGTCCTACTGATGTCTCCCCTTCCCTGCGGGCCAGCCCTTCTGAGGACTGTCTCTGATGCTCACCACTGTGGCCCCTGCGCCGGGCTGGCTGAGGAAGCCAGGAGAGGGTGGTATAGATGGATGGACAAGCCCTTCCTGGAGCTAGCCATGCTCCACCTCAGAGAAGGGCATAACGCCACAGTGACATGGCCACCGGCAGCCACTCCTGCTCCGACCCACCCAAGGACAGCACTTGACTGTGCTTGGGACTCAAACTCCCAATCCCATCTGGAGTTCAGGGTCTACACCACACTTACTCAAATGACCTCACCTCTCTTGAGCACAATGCCCTGGCCTCTTGTCATCACAGGAAGCCCGAGCTGGGTGCAGCATGAGAGCACTGGGCCAACCTGGACAAAGGCTCCCAGATGAGTGAGGAGAGACTGCCTGCCCTGCCCTGAAAAAAAAGCCAGCCAACCCCACGAAGCCTCCCGCCCAGTGCTCTGACTACGGACACGCCACCAGCCCCTGCACGAAGCTGGCTGTGGGGCCTGGGGAAGGAAGCATTTTCTCCCGCTTCCTTGGGAAGAACATGGCAGAGCTGGGAAGGCCAGCAAGGGGCCAGTATGTCTGCAGGGCCAGTGGTCCCACATGCTCACCCACAACTGTGGCCAGAGACGCTGGGCTCCACGAGGTGTTTGCACCCACTGTGGGCTTCGCAGACCAGGCCTCCCCCTAGTCTGCAAGCATGACAAGAAGAGGCTTTCTTCAAATGCTAAACAGATGGACAACATGGCTCCCCTCCAAAATTATGGGCAGACTTGGAAGTCTCATTTTCCTTACGTAAAGAAGAAACAATAGCACAACTATGTTTCAAAACTGTAGTCTTCAACTGAGTTTTAAGTTATTCTAAGAAAGAACAGGAATTTTGTCCTTTTTACAGGTCTTAGGCGCCTTAGTGGCACAGCAGTTAAAGTGCTCAGTTGCTAACTGAAAGGTTGGTGTTTGCGAACCGGCTCCCTGGGAGAAAGAGGAGGCTATCTGCTTCCGTAAAGATTACAGGCTTGGAAACCCTATGGGGCAGTTCTACTCTGTCCTGTAGGGTCTCTATGAGCTAGAATCAGTTCAACGGCAGTGGATTTGGGGTTACAGGTCTTAGGTTGAAAGTGGCTAGGTAGAAGAGCTGGGATCTACCAGGGCAAATAAAGAAACAACTAACAAACAACAATGCTCCGCTGTGGCACGAGAACAATGTGACACCATCCAGGAAATGCTGGGGGGACCCTGAGGGGTGAGGGCAGGGTGCTGTGCTTGGCCTTGGGGAAGACAATGAGGCAGCTGGTGATGAATTTCCCAGTCCTGAGGATGCTTTCCGGGTGTTTTCACGCACCCCTCAACCATGGCCAGCTCAGCCAGCAGGGCTACAGTTTTGAGACTTCACCCCCACAACATTTCTCAACTTCTTGGATGCTGCTCCCCGTTTCTGCCTGACCTCCTGGACCTCCCTCCTGTCTCCCTGGTCTTCTCCTCAAGGCTTCCCCCAGGCAGGGCCGGGGACTCCCAGTCCCACCCACCTAGCTGCAAATACCCATACTTCTCTCCAGTCTTGACCTTCTCCTAGATCTTTAGACCCCCCAGCCAGACAGTGACTTCTGGAGAGCTCCAAGGAGGCTCAAAGGCAGAAGATGCTGTGGTGGTTATGTTTTTGCGTCAGCCTGGCTGGGCCTGGTTGAGTGGCTGGGCAGCTGGATGTAGCGTTCCCCATGATGAGACTGGTAAACAACTCCATGGCGGATTCTACTGTGAGCAGCTGAGTAGCTGCCGTTGGGTGTGTGGTCTGCTTCCCGTATATAAGCAGCAGCTTTGGGAATGGGCTCTAGTTTATGGGCACGCTTGGACCCTGCATGTATGTAGCCGTGTCATTGTTCAGCAGCCTGCCATGCTCTCCCAACCTTGGGACTTACGTTAATGGCCTGCCATGTGGTTTGGTAACATCGGGACTGTGCCTTTTTACTTGCCAACCTTGGGCCTTCTCAGCCTCAGCAGCCAGGAGCTGTCTGAGTGAAGAAACGCCTCTAGCTCCAGTGGGCCTGGAGCAGGAGGCAGAGCTGGACCCCAAGACTGAGGGGCTTTCACCCAGCCCCTAGAGCCTGGCACTTTGAGCTTGGACTTAACGCCTCAAAATTGTGAGAATAAACTCCTGCTTGTTAAGGCCGTCCCACTGGTGGTGTATTCCGGTCAGAGCAGCACTAGGGAACCAGAACGGGCGCTAACCATCTTGTCTTCCCAGACTTGCTCCCCCCGAGTTTGGACCTCTGTTAAGGGAACCACCGCCCACCTGCTACTCAAGAGGGAAATGCAGAGGCACCTTCCCTCTTCTCCCTGTCAACCATCAAGTCCCCTCATCGCACCTACTAAATCCTTTCTGTTCCGTCCTCTGCAAAGAATCAGACTGGCATTCCCATTTAAAAACAGCTGCTGGGCATTCTACACACATCCCATTTACTCCCCCCCTTCATGACCGGCAGCAGCATCACTGTTTTACACCAGGTCACCGAGCTGGAGAGTGGCGAGCAGGGGCTCAGGCGCACCAGCTCCCGTATGACCCCGAGGCCCATGCCCTGCCCCCACACCATGCCTTCTCCGTCCCTATCACACCAACTGGTCCAGACCCTGAGCACTGCTCCCCTGCAGGAGGAGGAACGCTTGTGGGCCGGCCTCCCTCCGTCAAGTCTTGCTTCTCTCAAATCCATCCCTACTAAGCTGACCAAGTGATGATCCCCCTTTCAATAAAGCACACACGGGTGACTCTACCATCCTGAGGCACCAAAGACCCAGAAACTGGCACCTCAGAGTTGAAGAAAAGCTCTGTTCAAAACTCGTTGTCTGCTTATGTGCAGCCAGGAAAAGAGGTAACCGCGCTTGAAACACTGGGGAGAAGTACCGATGTTTGTATTTCTTTAAACGCCGGTCTCTAGTGAGTCTTGAGGAGCTCTAGTAACATAGAGTCTTCACTTGAATTGCTTTGCCAATGTTTTTAGTCTATACGCTACCAAAGAATTATAATGAAATTTTAACTAAAAATTATATTAAAAAACCAAAATACATTGGTCTGCATGCTAAACGCTCTAGGTCCCAGAGATCCATCCTATTTTGTGAGTAGGTCCAAAGCCAGGGCCAGGCATTCCAAGGGCGGTGGGCCCAGTGCTGGAGAAGAGCCCCAAGGCTCCCCTGCAACCAGCCCCGTGACCCTAAACCCTGGTGCCACGTGATGCTCCCCAAGAAGCTGTGGTCCTTGAGCCTTCTTTGTTTCCGAGAGCCTAGAGGAAAAGCGAAGTCCAGACGCAGCAGACCCAGAACCAGCTCGCAGAAGTGCATGCGCCAGGGAATCTGAGAACTCAAACCCTCCATCAGCCTACACTGCCTCCTGTGAAAAGCTAAACCGCATCTCTCCTGACCACCCTGCGGCCGCTCCACTCCGGAAGGAAGGCCGGGCAACCTACTTCCGGGAAGATTTACGGCCTCGCAAACCCAAAGGGGGTCACTAGGGGTGGGAACTGATGGCAGTGAGTTTAGTTTTCTTGGTGTGACCACCCTGTGAATGGGGTTCTAATGAGGAGACAGATAACACAAAGGAGTGAGCCTAAGGGTGACAGTGAGAGGACCTGAGAACTTAGAAAAGCAACAAATGATAATGTGATCTGTCTGTGGCTTTAAAAACAAAAGCTAAATTTTATCGCCATGTACTCAGATTCCAGGATGCAGATAAACTGTTCAATTGAAGCCTCTGACTCCACATTCTTCTGGAGTGTGAATCGCCCTCACTCTTCTACATCAGAAAGAACAGAAATGCAGAACACGGGAATCAACAGAAAACCCCCAGAACACCTACCCACCTAAGGCCTGGGAACTGCCCGCTCTCTGAGTGGAATTTCTTCAGGAGCCTATTTCTCCCTCCTACCCAGTGGCTGGGGTTCCACCTCATTCAGATGATATTTTCACCTTCGCTTTTCTTTGTGCTCTCCTCAGAATCCTATCTCTGAGAGCTGAAAATCTTCTAGAAAAGCTCAGACCTCGGTAGGTTCACCATGTTCTCTCCCATGTAACTGTATGGGTTAAAGCAAAACAATTTCCAATCCTTCCTTTATCTGCTGGTGTAATGCCTAAGGCACTTGACTGCTAACCAGAGGCTGGCAGTTCAAACCTACCAGCCACTTCTTGGAAGGAAGACTGGACGGTTTACTTCTGTAAAGATTTACTGCTTCGGAAATCCAAGAAGGGGTTGTTATCAATATAGATTGGACAATCTACTTTCGTAGTGATACCGCCTTGGAAACCCAAGGAGGGGTCGCTATGAGTCGGATCCGACTCGACAGCAGTGAGTTTGGTTCCGTTTGGTCTTTTATCATACTATGCTCCAAAGGCTCCTGCTGTCAGCTGTCCCCTGAAGAGCCAGGCCATCCGTCCTGCTGCCAGGCAGCCTTCCAAGCAGCAGAAGCCCACCGTGCAACCCAGCCCTGCCCTTAGCACCCGCCCTCCTTTACCCACAGGGGACAGCCGTGGTCCCATGGATTCCTTACCCAGCTGAAGTCCAGCCTGGGGACTCGAGGTGTCAAAGGGCTCTGAGCTGGCTTCAGGGGCACTGGATTCCCACAACTCACTGTTCTCAGACACCTCTGAGTAGGTGTCACCCATTCCTTTGTGAACTGCCATGGGCTCGCCAGCACTGGGGCCCTGGTCCCCACTGCCTGTGTCCGCCACAGCCCGGGTCTCCTCTCCCATTTTCTCAGCAAACCACTGTTTGACCTGCTGGGAGTTCATCTGGGTCTTGTCACAGAGGTTCTGTAGGTCCTCCTCGTACAACATCTTGTGTATCATGTAGTAGTCTTGCAGCAGCTCCCGGTTGCCCGGGGTGATGACCAGCAGCCCTGGAGGGAAGTTGCCCCGCTTGTAGTCTTCATACCACTTGAGCTGACCGTTCTTTAGGGCGTACCTGCTGTCCCCGAACCAGCGTACCACCTCGGGCCGTGGCAGACCTGTCTGGGCCATGATGGAGTCATAGTCCTGGGTGCTGGGCCACTGCGTCTGGACAAAGAGCTGTCGCAGCAAGTGGCGCTGCTGGGCCGTCTTCTTGCAGCTCACCTTGCCTGGAGGCTGCTCAGCCAGCTTGCTTGACCCCTCATCCTCCGGCTCACAGGTGCTCAGCCCTGGGAACTCGTTCTTGCCATTGGCCTCGGTGACCCGCAGGTTCTTCAGGTTGATTTTGATGGGGCTGACTTTGCGCTCGGCCAGGGAGGGGCTGCTCAGCCCTTCCAAGGAACCGTTTTCACCAGGGACTCTAAGGTCGCTGGCTGGGTCTTCCTCCCCACCCTCGTCCTCGGCGGCCTCTTCTTCCTCCTGAGCAGTGCTCTCGTCAGCCTTCTTGGTCCCCTCTGCGTTCGCTCTTTTCCGTCTCTCTGAAAACCAGCTGTCAATTTCTCTTCTGGTCATTTTGGTTTCACTTCTCAGGCGGTCCAGTTCCTCATCAAGAGGCAGGGGGTTTTGTGCAAAACTGCTTTCCAGGATTCTGAGCTGCTCGGGGGCTCTCTCTTTGTATTTGGTTGCTGTGAAGTCAGGGGTCTGGTGCCAGGACTGTCGTTTGGCAGAAGGGTGGTGGGTCACTAGTGTGGCCGCTGGCGGGATACATGTTGCCTCAGGGGCTTTGGACGGCGGGGCGAAGGGGACCTCTGGGGGGGAATCCATGAGGAGGGCGCCATGATCGCCGGGCATCAGGGGTCTGGAGCCCTTCAGATTCCGGCAGTGGTAGCGCCGATCACTGAACCACTTGCGCACCTCTCTGGTACTGAGGCCGGTCACTTTGGTCAGATGCTCCACCTCGCTCTGCCCTGGAAACTGGTTCCGACAGAAGCTACCTTTCAGAGCCGACAGCTGCTCGTGGGATTTCTTATTTTTGTAGATGCTAGCATCGAGGAAGGCTTGGGAAGTTATGCTGGGGCATGCTGTGAGAAGCGACTGGGCTGCGTTCACCACCTTCACGGCCGATGACGATGAACACACAGTGTTGACAGGCGCCACAGTGGGCTGCTTGGGGACAGAAGTAACTGCCAGGGGAAGAGATGAACTTGTCGCATGCAACCCATTGGCCATCAGTGGCTGAGTGACCAGAAGTCCCCCTGCTGTGCCCTCTGGCTGTCCTACGACATGACCTGGTAGGGCAGCCTGGATGAGATGTTGGACATTGCCAGCATTGGCCACTAGGGGAGTATTTAAAACAGTGATTGTGGGCTGTGGTACGGACTGAATGACGGTATTGAACATCTTTTTCCGGGCATCCTCTATCTCCTCAGGGGACCAGCTGATACCCTGCTTCAACCTCTGGGCTGTGAACCAGATCTTGAGCTGTTCTTCTGGGTACTTGGTCACCACGGTCAAATAGCAGAGCTCGGCTTTGGTTGGGTACGGGAACTTGTGGAAAGAGTTCTTCAGGAAGCTGTTGGAGTCCATGGCTGCATTGTAAGTCGGAATGCTGCTCAGGGGGATCATCACTTTGGGCAGGGTCTTGGATGTGGGCAGTGGCTGGGGGGCATGGTGCTGGGTATGTATGGGGGGCTGCTGCTGGAGGGAGAGGAACTGTGCCATACCAGCCGGCAAAACCGGAACCGTTCCTACCAGGGGCTCGCTGGCTGCATGCGGGGGTTTCACTGGGGTGGCAGAGGCCTGGCTAACTGGAACTACCCCATTGATGAATGAGTGGTCCCCCTCTTTCACCTCCGTTTCTCCAGCTGAAGGGTTTGATAAGGACTCCCCAACAGGCTGACTGGGGACGTTCTCCTTGAGTGTATGAATTTTCTTGGCTTCAGCTTTGCCTTTCATTATCTTCATGATTGGAGTTTTAGTAATAATGATTTCAGCCTGTCCATCAGTCCCTTCAGTGCTGGGTTCCCCGGCTGGGTCAGGAGTGCTCGTGCTTTCAGGGATGCACTGCTCCACGATGACATGATTGTCTGGCTTGGCCACATTCCACACAAAGCTGGCTTCCCCCGAGTGACACTTGGCATTGTGCAGGGAAAGCCCCTCAGGGGTTTTTGCCAGAAAACTGCATTCAGTGCATACAAAAGTTGGGTCTTTATCAAAGTCTGTGTGCTCTGAGTTCATGTGTCCCACAAACTGGGTCACGTCCTGGGATCTGAAGTCACAGTATTTACAGGAATATGAGTACCCGTCCGATGTGCTCCGATGCCCGTTGGCCAACACAGCGCCGTCAGTGCCGCTATTGTTCTGGGCCACCTCGCTGCTGGTGGCAGGCGCTTCGGGGGGCAGAGTCTGCTGGGGCCCTTCAGGCAAAGCCTCTGTGGGCTGGGCCTCGGCGCCGGCCTCCTGCAGGGCCACCGTCTTCACCGGGATCATGCACGGTGTGGTTGATTTCCTCTTGCTGGCCATGACAACGATCACTCTAGGGGCTCAGCTGTGAGAACTCGTTTAGCAAAGGCTTCACGGCCCAGTTCCCACTATGCCATGACTACTGAAGAAAGTTTCCAAAGGCAGCTTTTTCAATTGTTTGCAGAAAGCAGCTTTCCCCTATTGAACCTGAGGAGGAAGGGAGAGAAAAAAAAAAAAATTAGGGCCTCATCAGCCATGCCTGTGCGTGTCTCAGCTACCCACTGCCGGCCTTGTATCATCAGGTCTCTTAGAGAGAAGTTCAGCAACAGCTTAGAGGTGAAGTCTGGGTCGGGAGGCCGCCACTGCCTGACAAAGCAGCACCCTGAAGAAGAACGTCCTGGGATATTCTAATACAGTTTTTGACAGATGATGCTTTTTGGTTTTGTTTATTTCCCCTGTATCTTTGCTTTACAATTTCAACTCTGAGTGCAAGCAAAACAAAACACTCTATTTTGGACCTTCAAATTAATTCTGAGCATGTCAGAGTAGGAACAAAAGGTCCTAGTGTAATTCTTGTTTAAATGTTTGGGCCAAAAAGGGCCAAACATTTTCATAGCCTTCCCACATATGAGAATAACCCATTTGGCATGGCTTGATTCCCACTCATGATGGCTCTATGTGTGTAGAACTTCACTCTACAGGGTTTTCAAGGCCCTGATCTTTTGGAAGCAGATCACCAGGTCTTTCTTCTGAGGCACCTCTGAGTGGGTTCGAACCTCCAACCTTCTGGTTAGCAATCAAGCACTTAGCTGTCTGCACTACACAGTCCTCATGAGGATAAGACACTGCCTGCTGCTCCTCTCTCTTCTCAGCCAGGCCCACAGACCAAGTTAGCTGAAGGGTGAGTGGGAGGGCTGGGGGTGGGGTAGGGTGGGGCAGTGGTTGCTATATAGGAGCCAGGCCTCTCTCTGTGGCCTTTCCCTGTATGGTGTCCCTCCACAACCGCTCCCGGCCACGAGGTGTACCCCGAGCCACTGTCACTCATATGAAACCAAAGATGGGAGCGAGGAAGGATTCACAGACCCAGTTCACACCTAGCCAGCTGCACACCCTCTCTCTGGGTGTAACTTCAAGTCTGTCCTCACTTTGGGTGACATACCTCATATGGCCTTGTATTGTGCTTACTTTTTTATTTTCTTTCAGTTCTTTTACTGTTCCTTAAAAAAAAAAAAAAGCCTCTTACATCCTTGATCCATCTGAAATTTATTTCAAAAGCTGGAGTGATTAATTTTCTTAAATGTAAAATAACTGTAATAATGATTACTTCATGAGATGCTGTCATTCAGGATTTCTGATCATTAACATTACTATCATCATAAGCATCATTACCTTTCTTTTAGCAAATTATTGCTTTAATAGTAATTCTAAGATCAAGCTTCATCAGGGTTTGGATTTAAGAATGTACAGAAAAATAAAACAAATATCTCTATTCAAATTCTTCTCAAACAGTAAGCCTAACTCTGATCATGATGATAATTACTATTACAAAAAATGTTGGGGTGAAATAAATATACACCCGATCTAACTACTTGTTGTCATTTCCCCCGTTGTTGTTGTTGTTATGTGCCTAGTTGGACCCTCCTTGGGTTGCCGAGGCAATATCACTATGGAAGTAGATTGCCCAACCTTCCACCCGAGGAGTGACTGGTGGGTTTGAACCGCCAGCCTTCTGGTTAGCAGTCAAGGGCCTACTGATTTGAAATCTCACGCATACATTTTTAAACTTATTTTTTATTATAAAAATATCGATATTCAATGAAATTTGAGAAAATGAAACCATCTATAATTTTTATATCCCTTTCCATCTAGTCAAAATATGTTATATATTTTTTAAGTCATAATGGGCACATTTATGTGCTGTTTTTCTAAAAATGAACATTTTATCATAGACATATTTGCTACATATGCTTCACAATTATCATGTCTGAAGCGAATAACATAGCTCAATGGACTTAAACCACCCCTACCCCCACCGAACAAGTTTCCTGCCCAAATTCCACTCTCACAGGTGACAGTACAATGAACAGCTTTGGATATGGGATGTCTTTCTTCTATCAGATTACTTCCTGAGGCTAAGCATATAGAAGTAGGTTTACTAGCTCATAGACTACCAACATTTCTAGGCTTCCTTCTATATAACTGGCAAACATTTAAAGTCAAGTGCTTTACACTTCTGAATCAGGAAAAGTAACAATAACAGCTATACTCCCAAGCTCTTCAGGTAAGTCACTGAGCCTTGTTCCTATAACGATGTGGTCTATCTTTCCATGTCAGCATCTATAGCTTTACTGAAGTCTTTTAAGTCATTGCCATGTTGTGACATTCAAATGTACCATAATTTCATAATTAATCTGTGCTCTGTTAATAGATGCTTGCATTTCTGCAACTTATCAACTATTGCAAACAACTGGTCCATGACTGTCACTGCACATATTTTTATGCATTTGAGAATTTCTGAAATTCTGAATTTCTTACAAGTGGAACTGCTGTGGCAAAAATACTGTCAGCAAAGTACCAAATTGTCTTCCAAACAGATGGTACTGATTTTCACTCTCCCTGCAGTGAATGAGAATGTCCTCACTATCACTGGCTATTATTAATTATATTATTAATTAATATGTTTAGTGTTTGCTAACTTAATACATTAAAAAATTGTCACTATATATGTTAGGCCACAAAGCAAACCTCAATAAATTTAAAAACACTGAAATATGGCAAAGCATCTTCTCAGATCACAATGCTATAAAAATAGAAATCAACACTAGAAAGACCAACAGAAAAAGAGCAAACATATGCAAACTGAGTAACAACCTCTTTAAAAATGACTGGGTAACAGAAGAAATTAAAAAGTTCCTTGAATCAAATAAGAATGAAAATACAACATATCAAAATCTTTGGGACACTGCAAAAGCAGTGATCAGAGACCAATTTTTAGTAATAAATGCACACATCAATAAAGAAGAGCCAAAATCAACACATTAATCCAGCACCTCCAATAATTAGAAAAAGAGCAGCAAAAAAAAAAAAAAAAAAAAAGCTTATAGCCATCAGAAGAAATAACAAAGATTCAAACAGAGATAAATGAAAGAAAATAGAAAAAAATCAACAAGACTAGAAGTTGGTTCTTGGAAGATTAATAAAATCAACAAGCCACTGGCCAACTTAACAAAGGAAAAGAAGGGTGCAAATAACATGAATGAGAAATGAATTGGGCAATATGTCACAATAGAACCAACTGAAATAAAAAGGATAATATGATGATACTATGAAAAACTGTTGGGAGCTCTGGTAGCGTAGTGCCTAAGGCACTTGACTGCTAACCAGAAGGCTGGTGGTTCAAACTCACCAGCCACTCCTCAGAAGGAAGATGGGGCAATCTACTTCCGTAGTGATACTGCCTTGGAAACCCAAGAGTCGGGTCCGACTCTATGGCACATAACAACAACAACAACATGAAAAACTGTACTCCAACAAATTTGAAAACCTAGAAGAAATAGATAGATTTCTAGAAACACACTACTTACCTAAACTAACACGACTGAAGTAGAAAATCTGAAAAGATCCATAACAAAAGAAGAAATTGAACAGGGTCATAAAAAAAAATGACCAAAACTAACAACAAAAAAAGTCCTGACCAAGATGGTTTCACTGGAGAATTCTACCAATCACTCAGAGAACAGCTGATACCAATCAATCCTACTCAAACTATTCCAGAACACAGAAAAGGATAGAATCCTCCTAAATTCATTTTATGAAGCAAGCATAGCTCTGATACCAAAACCTGGGAAAGACACCACTAGAAAGGAAAACTACTGCTAAAGGGGCAAGGAGGCGGCATCTTCTGACCTCCTCTAACCACACAAGAGGAGGACAGAATCACCATCAACAGCCCAATACCTGCTCCTATGAGGCCAGACATGCTGCCACCCTCCAGCCCTCTTACTAACCTTGACACCAACCATTCCTCCCGCAGTATCCATCACCTTTCTGCTAGGTTCAATAATTCACTGGAGTAACCACACAGAACTCACAGAGTATGGAGTTTATTAGGGAAGTAACAGGCTACAATTCAAGTTCAGGAATGTGCTCAGTCTTTCTCAGCCAGCCGTCTCTCATCCAACAGTCTCTCCCAGTAGCACATCTCTCTTTCAGCAGTGCATGTCTCTTGTGTCTCTCTCACACCTCTCAGCAGCACATCTTTCTCAGCTGGCAGTCAGAGAGACTCCTTCTGCCTCTAGGAGGGCTCCTTTTGAGCCTGGTAGAGTGGCCAAAACCAACCAATCCCAACATCAGAGTTCTACACACCTGAGAAAGAGCAAATTTCCCAGAAGATCCCTTCATGCTGCTCCAACAGAAATACACCAGATGGATAACCTTAACAATAAGCCATTCAGCTGTTCATGGCAAAATAAGAATTTTAAAGACTTTGGCTAGAAAAGCCATGCCATGTAATTTACTACACTGCAATTACAGACCAATATCCTGCATGAATTTTGAAGCAAAAATCCTCAATAAAATCCTAGCCAATAGACTCCAACAACATATCAAAAAAATAATACATCATGACCAAGTAGGATTCATACCAGGTATGCAAAGATGATTCAACATTAGAAAAACAATCAATGTCATCCATCATGTAAGTAAAATAAAGAAAAAGAACCATACGATCATATCAATAGATGCAGAAAAGGCATTTGACAAAATCCAACATCCATTCCTGATAAAACTCTCAGAAAAATAGGAATAGAAGGGAAATTCCCAGCATAATAAAAGGCATATATACAAAACCAACAGCCGACATTATTCTCAATGGAGAGAGACTGAAACCATTCCCCTAGTGGACAGGAACCAGACAAGGATGTCCTCTATCTCCACTTCTATTCAACCTTGTATTGGAAGTCCTAGCCAGGGCAATAAGGCAAGAAAGGGAAATCCAAGGCATCCAAATTGGTAAGGAAGAAGTAAAACTATCCCTATTTGCTGACAATATGATCTCATACATAGAAAAATCAAGAGACTCAGCAAGACAACTTCTGGAATGTATGGACAAATTTAGCATAGTGGCAGGATACAAGATCAACAGACAAAAATCAGTTGGATTCCTTTCCATCAGCAAAGAGGTCTCTGAAAAGGAAATAAG